AGAATGCTGCCTTTTGAAAAGGTACTTGTACTTCTAGGTAGTTTTATATATTGCATAACTTACTAAAACCTTCTTAGCCTTTCCAGTATTTTCCAGTAATTTCTTTGTCTGTTTTGACCATAAGCTTTGAATAAGTTGATTAAAAGAGAAGTTGGTCGTTGTCACTTTCCAAAGGCTTGAGATCCATGTGCATGCACAGAACCCCACAGAGCACCACAACTCAGAATAGAAAGGTTAGGGAAGAAACTAGTGGGTACCATTTAGCTGTTCCCATGAGATCTCAGGAATCACACAGTCTTCCCGGGATTCCTTAGCATCTGTACTGGGGCTGAGAAACACACTGTCCCCTAAAGGTGAGAGATGGGGTATAAGGGAGAAGGTTCTGCTGGAACACCACAAGCTCTCCGTTCATATTTGGCAGCAAGTTTCTTCCAGGCACATCAGGGCAGTGAGATCTTCCCAGAGAGACATGAATTCTGTCTGTCTTAGGGCCTCTTCTTATAAATTCTAGATGGAGATTTCTCCCATCTTCCTCAACCCTTTACAAGGAGCTCTAGGACTTGGTATGTGCTCACAAGAGCCATAATTCCCTGCCTCTGAACTTTATGTCCTCAATGCTAGAAAAACTTCTATTGAAAGAAATAACAGATTAGGTTGGGCATGTCTTCTATGGTGGTATCACATTACAAAATAAATAGTATGGCTTCTGAAGTACTGCATGTAATAAATTGCCTTTAGTGCAGCACAATATAGTATAAATAAAAACATGAGTTTATTCAAATCTTATTTGAATGTTTTATGTGGCTTATCTTAGATAGGAATGTCTCATTTCCTTGACAACTAATGACAGTTAGGCAGAGATAGACTTACCTTTGTAGAGTTGGACTTGTCAAAGCAAAAAAGAGTTTCCACTGGAAAGTGGCATATCATGCTGTTTAAATATGACAGATCTGGAACCCAACTACCTGGGTTAAATTCTGATTCTGCCATTATCAACTACCAATCCTTGGGTAAGTTGCTTAATTTTTTTGGAGCCTCAGTTTCCTTATCTGAAAAATAGAATGTATAATTATATCTACCTCAAAGGACTGCCATGAAGATTAGCCAAAATCATTCATGTCAAACATTTGATAGATTTTAGCTGCCATTTTAATGATTCTTTTCATCTACTTTGATATTTCTTCTTCTGGCCTCTCAGACACCAGAATTACTTAGAATTATGATTATTCAGAATTATTTAGTCTACCAAAATTCTGAGTACCTAAAGAACAATTCTAGAAAAAGTTGTTTACTGTTTAGTTACAAAATAGATACATTTCCAACAAGGACCTATTTTCTTCTCTCTCTTTCCCCTCAGCATTGATAAGATGATAGATGTCTTCCAACCATAATTACATCCAAAGTTGTACAAGTGGGCCCAAACCTCTAAGAAATTAGGTAATTAAATGTAAAATTTGCAGGCCAAGCCATGACTTCTGAAGTCATGATTATAGAAGTCCCTGGTCTGCTGGGAACATACTCTTCTCTTTTGTCTTGGTAGAGCGAGCTCTTAGTTCCACCAACCCTTTTCAGTCTCTTAGAACTGTTTTTTTCACTTCAGAAGATGTAGGAAAGTGGGAAGGCAGAAGGAGCCTTGGAACCTACATAGCCGGGTGCCCACTTGGTCTTTGATGGCTCATCAGTAGTTCTGTTCCGAAGTTCACAGTTTGAGTTGTGTGTGGATTACAGGTTATTGGCTGGATTTAAAAAAAGAAAAAAAAAACAATTATTTGTTTTTTTGGGTAATAGAATTTACAGATGTTATTAAAGGTTAGTATAGAATATTTAAAAAATTGAATTATTGATCTAAAAAAGAAACATTTTTCATTTTAACTTCTGAGTTTACCTTACAATACAAGTAAATAGGCTAAAGCAATATTAAACTCTTTGACTACAGCATAAAACATTTTATCTTTCTTGGATGCTACAAGATCATAAACTAAGGAAGTCAAAATCAATTTATGAACTCTCCAAGATCTTGCTAAGGAAATAGCTAGTAAATGCATAGAAAACATGTATTTATTCTTATGAAACATGCAAAAATAATCTCAGTATACTTCCCTAAGTGACTCTACTATGCAATATAATTTATGTAAGATTCTGAATATATTGAGTTTACTTAATATGATACATTTGGGAATGGGGTATAATTGAAAGATTTGGGGATAAAACTAGCATCAATTGAGTTGAAAAGTTCCTTTTTAAATAAGAATTGTTAAATTATACTATAAGATGCTGGAGAAAATATTACACACTATCTAAATAAGAAATTAATGTCTCCCTCAACATTGTAATAAGTAGTGCGTTTCAACTTAGTTCATTAATTGAGTAAATTGTTTTAGATGATTCAGATTTTCCACATAATAATATAACTTTTCATTGTTTCTTTTGCCAAATTCTGCTGCTAGATTAGTGTGTTTGAGCAAGCAAATTAGTGCCTCCTAGGAAGGTGTTGCTAAGTCACAGAGCAAAGAGGAATATTTCAAGGAAGTAAACAGTCTTCTGAAGGTACAACAAGTTCACTTCATGATTTTCCTTGTAAAGTTGGAACCACAAAGCTCTTCTGCAAGGGGTCTTTCTTCCCATTTGTAAATTGTGACTTCATTTGTACAACTCATTTTACTTACTAAATTTGTCTCCATGGACACTAATCATTCAGTATGCCATACCATGGGCATTTTTATTTGAGATGTAAATCAGCAATTCTCAACTTGTTTTTAATATCTAGGAGCATGTTAATGTAAATCCAGGGATGTCTACTTCTTAAAAGAAAAAAAACTCAAAATAATTTTGGACCTCAAGATGCTAATGAAAATTAGAGTAAATGACTGCACAATAATGTGATTTCTAAGATTTAAAATATTATAATATACTTGAAACATTCTTAGCTACAGATACAACTAACTGATTAAAGCAATTGGTTGCTAAGCAAACACTGAATGGCCTTGATATAACTGAAGTCATAACTGTTTCCATCTTTGGATTCCCATTCCCTTCCCCCAAACCCATGACATTTGGAGACCTTGAGTTAATATTAGAAATTAGTAAAGAAATTAGACTCTGCTCATACATTTTATCATTGAAATGTTTAGGCTTTATAAACTATCATTTTAAAATGTGGCTTTCTCCAGCTCATTAAAATCATAAATGTGTGATTTTAGAAACTCTCCATTTTGCATGAGAAGAAATAAAGTTCAGAAAATTAAAAGAAATTATTTGTTTTCCAAAATTGTTAGCAATAAAATTTTACCTAGAATCAAGATTTCTCCAAAAAGTATTGTGATTTTTTTTATCTGTACCTGACTATCTCACTGGCATAGCTCTAAATATCTTAAAGTAAGTGAAAAAGCAAGGGAATGGCAAATTTAGAAATTACAATTTGGGATAAGATCTCTGATATTATTTCTCAAAGTGTGATCACTTATATAATTCACTTCGATGCCTATTAAAAAAGTAAATTTCTGCCCAGGTTCAAACCCCAGCACTGAAAAAACAAATATTTTTAAAAATATTAAATTTCTGGACCATTCCTCAGATTTAATAAATCTTAATATCTAGGGGAAAGACCCAGGAATATGCAATTTAAATAGACTTGCTGGGTATAGTGGTACACACCTGAAATCAGAAGAATCACAAGTTTGAGGCCAGCCTTAACAATTTAGAGACCCCACCTCAAAATAAAAAATAATTTAAAAGGCTGTATCTGTAGCTCAGTGCTAAAGTGCCCCTGAGTTCAAGACCCAGTACTGATGTTAAAAAAAAAAAAAAAAAAATATATATATATATATATATATATATATATATATATATAAAATTTAAATAAACTCTCTAGGTAATTTTTATGTATACTAAGGCTTGCATTCCATACGCCAGTGTGTTTTATTGGAATATTATTTAAAATGTTTTAAATTGGCATAATACTATAATACATAGTATATTATAATTATAATATTATAATACTATAATATATTCTTCATAATATTATAGTATTATGAAGAAATATGTAATGTCTTGTAGCGGAGTCTGAGGAGACCTGTGTTGAAAAGGAAGGGCAAAGAGTTTGAGTTCCGATTCAGACACCACCATCTTGCAATGTGGTCCTGGACAAGTTGCTTAACTCTCTGAGCCTCCAATTTTTCTTCTTTAAAATAAGCATAAGGCTACCCTTGCAGGATTGCTGAGAGATAATGGATATAAAATATATAAAATACCTGAAGGGGGGCTCCCAGCAGTAGAGCGCTTCGCCTAGCATCCTCAGCACCACATAACAATAAATAAAATAAAGGTATTGTGTCCAACTAAAATATATATATATACATATATATATATATATATATATATATATATATATTTTTTTTTTTTTTTTTTAAATACCTGGGAGGCACTAGGCCTGGCATAGTAAAAGGCATACAACTATTAATTACTGTCATTACCTAAGCTAACATAACTATTATTGCCAGGCCTCTCCCCCTACCTTGTAAAGTGAGAATACACTGAATTCTACATTGTTTCAGACTTAGCTGCCATTTGTAGATTTTTTCTGTTATTTGATTCTCCTCCTATACTCTGTGGCTCCCTGCCTACCTCTTGGCCATTTCACTGTTCATTAGTCACCTCCAGTAGGAAGAGAAAGGGAAAATAAGAAATGCATCTCGAAACATCCATTTTCCTCTTATGTTATTACTTCCAGCATAAGGTTTGGTTTGAGGGAAAGAGGCTGAATTACAGGCCAAAATAGCAGTTTTGAGTTTTGTGAGAGTTTAATTTACCTATTTTTTAGGTAGTCTCTTTTCCTGATCTTGCAATGGATAAATAATGGCCATCCACTTGAAATGCCCTAATTTAAAAGCAGTGTTTTTAATCAACATTGTATGAAAAAAGGATATTTACAAATGATTCATTTTGAATCCTGTTTCTTTTCCTACTTTTTAGGAAAACCAAGAAGATTCAGTTTAAGGAAACTCATTAAGATCCTATGGAGAAAGAACCCAAGTATGAAGTAGGTCAAACTGTCTCCCTGGTCATGCCCTTCAGGCACTGCTGACTAGTTTCTAGCTCAGCGGAGGTAGACCAGGTGTGGATGGATTCCTCCACTGCAGAGCTCCTCAGTTTGGGCTCAAACCCAAGGAGAAGGTGTCTGTGTGGAGCCTATAACCAGGAGTCTCAGATGTCCTGTAAAATGCCCTCAGTTTCTTCAGATTGGGATTTTTCCTCATGAAAAGCTTGATATCCCAGACACCTGACACTGGTTGGAAAGGAGAGTCATAAAGGCAATCGCAGGAAGTGAGAGTCTCCAAGTCTCTGGAGGTGGTTAACAACCCAAAGTATCACACAAAGGTGAGTGTGGCAAGAGGGAAAATATTTCTTAACTCTTTTGGTGTGTAGCCAGACTCTGACAGGAGGGCACAGGTCAGAGGTGGCAACTGCCTGGTATTTTCTTTTCCTGACTCCACCTTTGTCAGACCTAGATCCTGATGGACTGTCTGCCTAAGATGTGTGGCAAGACCAATTCACTTGAATGGCAGTTCATAGAGGGCAGGTCTTTTCATTCACTGCACCTGGTACTAGGTGTGGTTTGGAGGAGGTGTTTAATAAAAATTTGTTGAATAAATGGATAAATTAGACATTAGGGTGAAAAAATGTTTGTTGAAAGAAAAAGGAAGGAAGGAAGGAAGGAAGGAAGGAAGGAAGGAAGGAAGGAAGGAAGGAAGGAAGGAAGGAAAAAATAGAAGAGAGAAATTATGGGATAATGACTGACTTGGTTAAGCAAATCTGATTATCTGAAGAAAACTCTCTTTTCAGATAGAAGAAGGCATATGAAGTTCCTATTACTGCTAGACCTTCTAAATGCTGATGACTGATTGGATTGGAAAATAATGATAACAGTAATGATGATGAATAATAAAAACAGAAACAGCAACATCTAATATTTATATGGCACTTGCACCATGTGGATTATCTTTTCTAATCCATTTGTAAAAGTTAATGAATGATAATAAAAGTATAATGGCACATTGCCACAGCATTAGGAAGCTTGATATAATATGGTATCAAGGACATTTAGTCAAAGGAATGTGATGTTGCAGACAGGTTCTAAAGGCAGCAGCCTAACCTGATTTCTCTAAATAAAAACTATGTGTGTACATAGTACATGTACATGCTTGAGTGTGTGAAGGCATACATGTAAATGCATAAAGCCTGCTCAAAATTGTTTTGGTAATAACCTTGATTCAGGGAGTTGAGTTGCTAAGTAAAGCTAAGTGTAATTTTTACCTTAATACTACATCTTTCTTATTCAGATCAGTTTTCTGGGTAGTTTCCAAAATCACAAATACAAAGTACATATGCATCTCCAGAAATTTCTCCTTTAGGAAAATGGCAGTATGCCATAAAAGGTGAAATACAGAGCATTAAAAAAAAAAAAAGCTAGCTCTGACTTTATAGATCTATTTTGTGATCCTTATTTTATCATGTCTGTTTGCTGTTTTAACATTTTGGCTCTTGAAGGTACTTTATTTAAATCCAGTGAAAGCAAACTGGAATGAATGGATTGTAGCGTCCTTGAGTGTGTCCTCTGTGGAAAGGCCATGGACTTTGGAGGAAGACAGACTTGGATGGTTTGAATTCCATCTCTGCTAGTGATCACCCATGTGACCTTGGTTAACTTCCTTAGCAATCAGGATTCTCCTCTGCAAAGTAGAAAGAAATATAACTTTTGAGATATGTTTTGAGGGTCAACGAGATAATATATCTTTGCATGTATGTATAGATGTGTATGTAATTACACATACATGAGATATGAACATAATTACTTCCCTGTAGCATGGTCTGTCTTACCCTCTCAGCATCCTGCATAGCATAGGCAGCCTGATAGCTGGACATCTCCAAAACTTGAGTCTCAGGGCAGCCCCTTCTTTCTCTTTAGACTGTTGTAGCTACATGTAGACTTTGTACACCAGCCTGCTCTCTACGTTGCCATAAGCATTATCTTACACACATACGCACACGCACACGCACACACACACACACACACACACAATTTACTCTACTTGCTTCTTAATTTTCTGCAGCCCACAGAACAAAGTGTAAGCTCCTTGTTGAAGGATGCAAAACTTCCTCATCTAGCTTTAGATCCGGTGACTCCTTTCTTGCTGATCCCGAATTGTTTCTTCAACTTTGCCATGCCTTTATGTGTGTGTGTGTGTGCATTTGTGTGTGTGTGTGTTGTCAGCCTAGAATGGCCTTCTTCTCTTTTCCACACGGTGAATATCCACTATTTCTTCTTTCAAGGCAAAGCTCAAATATTAACTTTTCTATGAAACATCTCTGGATTGCGGGGCTAGGGCTGTAGCTCAGCAGCAGAGTGCTTAGCTAGCATGTATGAGGCACTGGGCTCGACCCTCAACACCACATAAAAATAAACAAATAAAATAAAGGTATGCTGTCCATCTACAACTACAAAAATTTTTTTTAAATATCTCTGGATTGCCTGAAGCCAAGTCAATCACACCCCCTTTATGTCTTTCTGGCTCCCATAATTCTTTGTTTACATCTCTATCATAACAGCATTATGTGATAATTAAAATACAAACACATCAACAATGCCAATTTCTAGATGTGTGATCTTGGACAAATACTTAACTTGTATTTCTGTCTTTATTTGAAAAATGAAGGCAATATTAGTTCATACCTGATGGAGTTGTTTTAAGTATTAAATGAGATAATCCACATAAAGCACATAGTATAGTACTTGGAACATGGTAACTGTAGAAAGTGTTCAGTAGTATCTCCGTTATAATAATCTCTTATAGGTCTTTGTTAATCTGTAAGTTACTTCAGTTTTGCATCTGTACTATCCAGCCCAAAGCCCAGGACACAATAGGTATCTAATATGTTTGTTGAAAGGGAAGAAGGAAAAGGCAAGCTACCTTTCATCTTCATTAGCAAAGAGAAAATGTTAAACTATGCAGTATTTATGAGGAAGGCTCATTAACTATCCTTTCTGTCACCCTTTAGTTAATACTTATAGAGCTTCAGTTTCACCAGCTATAAAATGTCAATGACCCCCCAACCCCTGCCAATCTTATAAGATACAACATGCAAAAATTACAAGGCTTTAATGCCTCTAGATATTTCTTGGCTGTAGAAATTATACCAATACTGCTCTTCCCCAAAAAAGGGAAGAAAAATTATGTCCAATTTTAAGAATGCATATGAGCTGTGAATTTTTTAAAATCTGGTAAAACGGAGGTCAGATAAGTCATTCAGTAGCATTTCTAGAGTCCTCCAAATGCTGTATGTAATGTCAAAACTTTTGTTTTAATGAAATTCAGTTATCCAATTATCAATTCTTTTCTATTCTGAGTTAAATGTTACTGAAATTAGAGTTTTATTCTTATACTTGAAATTCAAAACTCAATTATCAAAAACAAACATTGTATTTCATTGTAATGAACTATATCAACTTCCTTTTTTCCATCTATTTAAAAGTGAGCTTTGGCAGTTGATACCAAGAGTTTTAAGTGTTAAGTCAGTTCATCCAACCTAGTTTATAATTTACCATCCTAATAGCTCTGCTGATTATTTCTTAAGCACTTTGAAAAAATTTTAAAAACTATTTATTTTTTTCTGAAATTCATGCTATGCATTCTTCCAAGCCTTTTCCTACATAGTAAATTTTTATTTTGCAAAAGGAAGATAAAAATACCTATGCTGAGCCTTTGTTGAAGGTTTAAATGTGAAGGTTAAGTGAAAAATGTACATAAAAAATGTAATGTAGTGCTTAGTAGATGCCCATTAAATTTTATTTTGTTTCTCATTGGAATTTTGTTTATGACACCATGTTTTACTTAGGTTCATTTGTTTACATATGGGTTTACCCCACTTATAATGCAAGCTCATCCAAGGCAGGGATTTGTGCCATGCTTGGTTTTGGATTCCTGGCACCCAGCACACTGCTTGACACATAATAGATATTTAATACATATTTATGGAAGGCAGGCAGGCAGACATGCAGGGTAGGGAAAAAAAAAGAAAAGGAAAGGAGGAGAGAGAGAAGAAAGGAAAGTATTAAGTACTAGGAAAAGCTGAATATCATGGATAAAATCCCTATATCATTCAAGTTATTTTAATTATTTATGTTTTATCATAATAATTCTAAGAAATTATAGCATTACAAAACATATTTGAATACTACTTTATAGTTTTGAATGAAAACTGATATATGCCCTTTTTGTTTTATGCCACTATATATGAACAAGCATTACTGAATGAAAATTGCTTGTCAAAAATGTAGCAAATGTGAGATGGGGCTGTGAGTTTGATGGCATGTGTCATTTATCTCTGCAAAACGTGAGGAGTGCCACCGTGTTTCAGTTCTCTTCTATGCACTTAGAAAACTTTGCTGTCTGCAATCTACTTGTTCTGTGACCTAGTCAAAAAGATTTATCACAAGTAAAATGCATATGTTTGATGCCTTTTTAGTGACATGCTTGACACATAGTACAAAATGATACAATCTGTATACTGTAAAGTTACAGTGTATACAAATCAGAGATGTTGTGCTTTGGGGTTACATAATTCCCTGTTTGAAAATATTTCATCTGATATCAGGAAAAGAAGCAGCTGGTACTAAGATAGTTTCAGCCTTCTCAAGTACCCCTTCCTTAATGTGTGCTTTGGACCCTAACTTTCTTTTTCTTTTAGGCTTCTGGTTGTTATTCTTATTCTTTGCTCTTGGTTAACAATTGATGCATTCTGATTGTGTGTGTGTGTGTGTGTGTGTGAAGTTTTAATCATAAAAATTTACATAATACAAAAAGAAGTATCATATTCCCTTTTGCTGTTTCCTTTCTCATTTCTTTGTAATCCATCCATGTTCTGCTACATCCTTCCAAACCTTTTCCTGTATATTAAATTTAAAAATATATGTACACATTTCTAGATATAATCTCCAGCTATGTATATTATTTATCAACATGCTTTTCACTTACTGTCTTGTAGATCATTTCACATACATTGAGATGTCATTATGAAGAGCAAAAGCTTCTTGGGCTGGGGTTGTGGCTTAGCAGAAGAGCACTCGCGTAGCATGTACAAGGCCCTGGGTTCGATTCTCAGCACCATATAAAAATAAATAAATAAAGATATTGAGTCCAACTACAACTAAAAAATAAATATTAAAAAAAAGCTTCTTGGGCTGGGGATATGGCTCAAGTAGTAGCACGCTCGCCTGGCATGCGTGAGGCACTGGGTTCGATCCTCAGCACTACTGAAAATAAAATAAAGATATTGTGTCCACTTAAAGCTAAAAAATAAATATTAAAAAAAAAGCTTCT